GTTTTCTTTTGTTTGTTTGTTTTTTTGCGATAGTAGGCTGACAGGAAAGGGGGTATGAGAGAGGGAGAGACATGAGGGAAAGGACCACAGGTAAGATTCAAACCCAGGTACCCTGTGTTGAGGAATAAGGCAATCACACCTGACTTTTGACTGTACTTTTAAACAAAATCCCAATAATAGCTTAAAACGTCATGTTAAAGTTTAGTTTAGACTTTATAGTGTGTGTGTTTTACTAAAATTAAAAGCTAATCCACAAAATCCCAGTATTCAGCTATTAATACTGCACTAATTTAAATCATATGTAGTGTAACACTATCACAAGCCATTTTTGTGCAAGCTTCTTACTCTCAAAGAGCGGATTTAAAGCGTTATTTAATTATTTTTTTTAATTGTTTTTATTTTTTCTATACCTTGAATTACCTTAAGTATATGGACTTCTTATATTTAGTGTGATACATAGAAAACCTTATTGCCTTTTCCAATATTAATTATTGTGGGAATACCAAAACTGAGCAACACTATGGTCATTTCAAGTATTTATTTATTTTTTAATAAAATATTACTGACTTCTTAACCAAGTAGCTTTTTGTAAAATGTTTTTATAAATTAAGCTACCTTTTTGTATGTCTTGGATTCAAGTAATTAACCTAAGAATAAACTGTTTCACCATGTAATTGGATAAGATAAATAAGTCCTACACATCATTTTTTTTTTTTTTTTTGCATGAGTTTGTCATTTTAGGAGATAAATTCCGCTTCTTGCAGGCAGGTGGCAGCAACTTTAATTGAGATCATGCGGTAAATATAAANTTTTTTGCATGAGTTTGTCATTTTAGGAGATAAATTCCGCTTCTTGCAGGCAGGTGGCAGCAACTTTAATTGAGATCATGCGGTAAATATAAACTATTAAAATAACATGAAGAGAAACAACAAAATGATTAATATACAGTTTAATTTTACGTAAAAATATATATAAATAAAACGCGGTTATTTTATTTTTATTTTATTTCATTTTTATATTTTTGATCAGGCGCCACATTGCCACCTTCCTCCGACAGAAACATTTGGGGTCCTTCTGCTTCACGTGTTCTGCTCTCCTGCCACCATGCCGAAGTCAAAAAGGGATAAGAAAAGTAAGTATTAATCATTTTATATGAAAGTGTTTTTCAACAAGTCGGGTCAGTTTTAGTTCTTATCAGATTATTGATATGTGAAATTAGTCCCTAATCAAATTAAGCCTCCCGAAGCAGGATAAGCTAGGTTCTTTTTGACTTCGCTCTTCTGCTCCTGCTTAATACGTGTTTTAAACTGACCTGTTTTCCTTATTTATCTCCAGTTTCTTTGACAAAAACTGCAAAGAAAGGCCTAGAATCCAAACAGAAGTTAATCGAGGAGGTGAGAATGTTTCATACCCCTAGAGGGTTTTTTGTAGGTATTAGCTTCTACTATGTGTTAAAAATATCTGTCTTTTTCTTTAGCTCCGGAAATGTGTGGACACCTATAGAAATCTGTTCATCTTCTCTGTAGAAAATATGAGAAACAACAAATTGAAAGATATCAGGACAGCATGGAAACACAGCAGGTAATTACACGGGTTTATTCTGTCTTTCAGGGACGAGAAATATGCATATTATACTTTGTTTACCCTTTTGCTTAAAACCATTTACTGGAATATTTTGTTTTATATTTTTTAACACATAAGCACACTTTTTGTGGGAATTTGGGCCCCTTAGAATCTATAACATTGTTCAAAGATTTTAAAATACTAGATTTCCTTTAAATAAAATTTTTAAATTAGTAATTTGCTTAAAAGTGGGAAAGATAGAAATGAATACAATTCTAACAATCATTCAAAATATACCTATTATTATTATCTCTATGTAAGTTCTAATCTCACACATCTAAATCATTTCACTCAATTTACTTTCTCAGGAAATGTATTATTGTACCATTTATTCGGTAAAACTATTAACAAAATGCATTATATTTGTCAATTTAAAATGGTTAATTTATCCTACTTTAAGAACCTTGTTTAAACCATTCAGGCCAAAAATGATGTACCGATCTAGCTGATACCAACGTCCTCAAAAGCGCCTAGAATCAGGGCTTAACCACTTCACCAAAAATCAAAATTGTGCTTTACTTATTTTTTTCCCAACTGATGTTTACTTTTTATTTTTATTCTCTTTGCTCTTACCACAAGTATTTAGATGTGTCACTACAGGGTTTAATTGTTTTATGACCTTGAAAGCTTGCTTGTCCAGGTTTATTTTCTCGGGATTCTACTGTTCCCATTGTGAGGAAAAGTCATTACCTGCGTACATGGATCTGCAGTAGGGCGAAAACGGTTAATTGGGTTAATCATGATTAATAAATTCTTGAAATAATCTCCTTGATTAGCATAAAGATTGTTAGTTGCAGCCCTAATTTGTGGTCTAGCTTCCACTCTCTCTTCCCGTCTGTGTTGCCACATACAGACTTTAAGCATCTTACTGCCACCTGGAGGGTTAGGGTGAAAACTTAGTTACTCTTTTTAAATATAACAAGGCATAAATGAGTGCCTCTGTGATTTGAAAATAGTACTTTGTTAAACAGCATTTTTTTTTTTTTGAATCGCAAATGTAAACCCAGCAAAAGATGACTTAGTTTTGTTTCACTTGTTGCTGCCAGCACCTCGTTATTTGTTGAATCAATTAACAATAAAGGAGATAAGCTTTTTAAATAGAAAAAATCTTGATACTTTTTTTCTTTTTTACCTTGTGGATTTATTGTGTTTCTGTGAGATATTTGGAGATTACATTCTAAACCAAAACACAGATTCAATTACTGGCAGGACCCCTGGGCTCGTATTGGTCTAACAGGTTTTTGCTTTTAATAGATTAGTAGAATCCTTTAGTTACCTCTAAAATGTTCATGCAGGCATCTGTTGTGGTGGGTTTGCTATAACGGTGACTGTGCTCATGAGTCTGGTAATACTAGAAGCATGTGTTGGAGGTTAGAAGAGGTTATTGGGACAAACTTGTATAGATTAGAGGACTGGAACCATCTTAGTCTGCTGATGTATTGAAACCAATAAGTTTCAACATACATCTTTAAAGGTACAATCAGGGTAGTTGGTCAAGTTCATGTAGGATAAGATATGTATTCTTATACAAATGATAAAGTTGAGATTTATACCCAAATTTTTCTCTGCATTTAATATTTCTTCTTTTTTTTTCTTTTTGAAGAAAAGGAACATATTTTGTGTTTTACTATAAGTTATGTATGACTGAAATGTTTGATATATGCATCGTTCACCATTTGCATGACTTGCAAATTATTGGTATGGCCACAGACCTCTTAGTGATTTAAAAATCCAACCTGACAATGTAATTACTTCAAAATTAACATGTCTTCTTTTTGGGCCACAGATTCTTCTTTGGCAAAAATAAAGTGATGATTGTTGCTTTGGGAAAAGGACAAACGGATGAATACAAAGATAATTTGCACAAGGTAAGACTGATTTTAAAACTCATCAAAAATGGAGCATTAATTTCTTTTCTATGCAAAGTATCAAACGTTTTGTGATCTCTATACTCAGGTCTGCAAGTATTTGCGAGGAGAGGTGGGAGTGCTTTTCACAAATAAAACAAAGGATGAAGTACAAGAGTAAGTATGGGTCTGTTGAAGTTTTCATTGTTTTAGTTCCTCTATAAAGGCTGCTTCTCAAGATGGATGCATGTTGGGCTTCACTTGCAGATATTTTAACCATTTCAAAGAGATGGACTATGCTCGCGCAGGCAACCAAGCACAGATGGATGTAACCCTGGAAGAAGGTCCTCTTGAACAGTTTCCCCACTCAATGGAGCCTCAGCTGAGGCAGCTGGGACTTCCCACAGCCCTGAAGAAAGGTGACAATTTAATTATGCTCTAAATGTGGTTAGTCAACTATATTCCCACAAGTTAATCTGCCCTTACTTACACATGAACTCAAATCCTATTACCGTATTTTCACGACCATAAGGCGCACCGTACTAAAAGGCGCAGTCTCAGTTATGTGTCCCATTTCTGTATTTAACACACACATAAGGCGCACCGGACTATAGGGCGCATTTTTTATATACAGGTACATGTCCTCTACTACCTTTAAATACCTCTACTGCGTATTTAAAAATACAGCGGGCCCAAAACTGAGTATGATTGTGCTTTATTCATCTATTTATTACAAAGTATTAATCAAACCTGGGAGCTGGCCGTGAGACAGACACATCGCAGATGACACAGCGCTGTGATCACTTCTAAATTAAATTAAACTCCTGAAACCTGCCGACAGAATATGTTCACTTTTATTACCGGTATCCTGGTGCCTGCAGTTTAAATTATTTAGATGAAAAACACCTGCCAGCCACCGCGTGAACCCGGAGGCGACCCAGCCTAGAGGCTGCTGATGAAGGGATTTCTACTGTCGGTGCACCGCTGGTATGTGGGGGTCTGAGCGCCTCCGACAGAAATAGATAATCTGGATGAACTGACTGCAATTATTAAGTTTTCAGGTGGACTTTCTCACTTAAAAACATATTAAAACTACTTTATTCCCACTGATCACAGCAAATATAGCTGCAAGATTTAGATTATTTAGATGAAAAAACACCTGCCAGCCGCCGCGGTGAAGAGGAGGAGACCCGACCCAGAGGCGGCTGTTGAATTAAGTTTTCAGGTAGAAAAATAGAGCGGGAGCAAAACTGAGTATGATTGTGCTTTATTCATGTATTTATTACAAAGTATTAATCAAACCCATCAAAGTCATCATCCTCTGTTTCTGAATTAAACAGCTGCGCTAAATCAGACATGCCAATTTCCCCTTCTTCGCTGTCAGAGTCACTTTCCGTGCAGCGCGGCTCCTCAGAAATAATGCCGGCTTTTGCGAAAGCTTGAACAACAGAGCCAGCAGACACGTTAGTCCAAGCATCTACAATCCATCCGTAAACGGTGGCGTAACTTGCCCGGCGCTGCCTTCCACTTATCCTGAAACTGTGGTCTCCGTCGGTCATCCATCGCTCCCACGCCGCTCGCAGCCTTACTTTGAATGGCCGGTTCACACCGACGTCGAGCGGTGGAAGTTCCTTTGTCAGACCCCCCGGGATAACGGCGAGCACAGCGTTCATTTGATTCACCTTTTTTTCACATCGGCTGTGAGATGGGCACGCAGCGATGGTGATGCGTGGAAAAAACCACCTGGTCTCCTCACATACACCTGCCTCAGCCACGCTTTCATCATCTCCTCATCCATCCAGCACTTTCATTTGCTTTAAAATCATATGTCATCAGAGCGCTGTGTCTGTCTCGCTGTCAGCTCCCAGATCAGCTTCTCTGATTGGTTGATGCAGCGCGTCCAGCAGCAAAACTTCAATTTTTCCATCTCGAGCAGCAGCAGCGCGTTGGCGGTGCGTCAGATGCTTAAACGCTCCCGACGCGCTGCGCCTGCTGCTCAAAACGCGCTGTGGGACCTTTTGCTGCACCTATACGCGCGTCAACCATTGACTTTGCATGTAAACTCGCTGCACCTGCTGGGTCCGGTTCACACCGATGTCGAGCGGTTGAACAGCGAGCACAGCGTTAATTTGTTTCCCCATGTTTTTCACATCAGCTGTGAGATGGGCACGCATGGAGTTACATATTAACAGCGATGGTGATGAGTGGAAAAAAAACACCTGGTCTCCTTACATTCAGCCACTCTTTCATCATCTCCTCAATGAGGTGGTCTCAAAAGTCGCAGTTACAACACACATAGGGCGCACCGCACCAAAGGGCGCACCGCACATTTTGAGGAAAAGTAACAACTGGGCCTTTTGCACATGTGGCCTCCTATCACAGCACCACAGATTTGAGATTTTATCCACCTCTGACCATAGAAGGGATTGGAAAAGTTGATTTAACTAAAATTAACCAAAGTTAAAATGTTCAATTCAAAAGTTTTTCAGTTTATTTTTATTTTAATGCTTTAAGATCTTTTCAGTGCATTCCAATAACGAAATAGGTGGCACATTTGATTTGGTCTGTTATTGTGCTTATAACCATTCCCCATCCACAGTGCATTCTTTTTGTCTAACATTTTAATGTAAAATAGTCAGTCTAATCTTTATTTATTTTTTCCCTACAGGTGTGGTGACACTACTCAAAGCCTATGACGTTTGTAAAGAAGGGGACATTTTGACTCCTGAACAGGCTCGGCTTCTGGTGAGGCTTTAAACTCCTCAGGTAAAAGCTAATGCTGTCTGATGCTTTTCCACAAGCTCATCCTGGCCCATCTTTTGTTCACAGAAACTTTTTGCTATCGAGATGGCAGAATTCAAAGTGCAGATTAAGTGTATGTGGAACTCTGAAACAGGCGAGTTTGAGAAAATGGCCACGGAGGAAGAGCCTGGGGAGGATGAAGAGGAGGATGAAGATGATGCAGAATAAAACTTCTGCAAAGGCAGCCAACTTCAGTCACTAGATGGACTTTAATTTGGAAATGTAATACCTTTTTATATATATATAAAATACTTGGGAAAACAAACTTGATCTGAAGTTAATGTTTTGACAGACAAGATTTTGTATAATAGTGTTTACTGAACAAGTCAGTTTGTGAAAGTTGAAGAGTTCCTCTGAAATAAATCACTGTTATAAATGTAATTATCATTTATTAAAAACCATACAATGAGGATTTAAACTTTTATTGAAAATAATTAAATTCCTTTTACATTTCTACAATTTTTCACAACAGATTTAAAGGTGATTATTATAGAAAAACAAAAATGAACTTGAGATGATTTTTAGTTGATTAGAAAAGAATTTGAGAATGGCCTCTATCAGTTCTTAGTTAAGCATTTTGGTGCGAGTCTTCATCTGAAGTAGTTTGGACATTCGTGGGCAACGAGATCCCAGGCCTCCTTGAAGGCATCAACCACTCTCTGATCCAGAGGACCTTCCTCTGCTGCAGCCAGATTCTGCTGAAGCTGCTCCATGTTTGACATTCCGATGAGGACTCCATCACCAAGGTTACCCTGGAAACGATATTTAAAAAGAGAGAGAGCAGTCAGTGCAGTTTGTGTTTGTAAAAAAGACTGCATATGCACTCATGAACACAGTTGAAAATTTAAATGGGAATCTATGTGACTATCATCTCAGGGTCCAAATGTTTATCAGGTTTGCACTTTAGAGTCCTCAGTTAAACTTTAAGACGTTTAAATACAAAATAAAAAAAAAACATAATATTACTATGCCTGCATGGCTGTAAGTCCTGGCTGAGGTCAAACCCCTAAATGTAAAAATGAATGAATACAGCTAATTAAAGCATTTTTTAATGGAACTATAAAAAAAAACAAACAAACACTAGTAGTTGCAAGCAGGTATAAGGTGATCAGCTCTTCACCCGTCTAACAGCAGATGGCAGCACCACAACAGTTTTAACTGCGGCGAAGAAGAACTGTCAGAATTAATGGAACAAACCAGTAAATAAATTCCTATTTTAAGTTGCATGGTATCGGATCGGCGCCAGGACTCAGATCAGTTAAAATCTTAAGATATTCACTTCCTTTGAAGAGTTTTTGAAATAATTTAGAACATACCTGTTAAACAACCAGCATCAGAGATAAAGTAATAATCACTTGTGAATGTGTTTTCAGTAATTTATCAATTAAAGCGAGCTATAGTTGCCTGTTAAAATGATCCCCTCATTAGAACTGGTTATTATACTGTTGTGTTTATCTTTCTTATTGGAGAATAACCAGGACAAATGTAAATGCAGCTGGTATCTAATATAACGGGTAGATACCTTCAGCTGGGAGTGGTGGTACATCCATCGCATCGCAGCAGAAGTCAGGGTGGGTTTCTCTGAGCCATAAGCCGTCTCTAAGGCTTTCAGAACCAGATCTATTGCCTGAAAATGACTCTGCTTCCAATATCTAAAACAGAAAAGGCCAACTTTCATTGGTACACCCTGTGAAGGTAACATACAATTAAAATGCAGCAACAGAAGATGAGATGCTGGTCTTTTACCGGTCTCTGTAAGCTGCAGCCCAGTTATTACCAAAGAAACGCCCAGCCGGCTGGGAGTTGTCTTTGTCCTCATAGTGGTATTTCCCTGTCAGGAGGCCACCTGGAATCAAATCAGGTATTTAAGACAAAGATAATGGAATGAGTCATACAAAAAATACATTGAGAGTGGCATGAATACATTGTGCAATACATCTGAGATCAATATTGATTTAAAAATAACTATCCTCAGAGCTACACTGAGAAAAAACATCGGCAGATTTTATATTTCTTCTAGAAACAAATCAGCAGTTAAATAATGGTCTATTAAATCATACTCAAAGTTCATAGACTTTGCTTTTACAGTTTTGCATTAAATAATTCTAGGAAATTAATTAATTTCAGAAATGCCTTTACTGTCGCACAGTAGAAATTTAGGTGTGACAGCGGCAAAGAACAAAACAAAAACAGAAGATCAAGAACAAGGTCAAATTTAAACTTAGCTGTACAGTTAAAATAAATAAAAAACTGAATATTGTCCAGTTATTAATAACCGTAACAACATAAATAAGAACATTTAGAAAACAGAAGAACAGCCAATTAAAAGAAGGATTTAAAAGCCTGCAGGTGAAAACTAAATTTTGTGTTCAGACTGCTTACATTTATCTATAAATGTCTATTAAATCAAACAGTCTCTCTTCTAATAGGACATTGCACCTCAGGTGTTTGTCCCGTTTCTTTCACCATTTGGTGGTTTTGGTTTCTGATAGAGCCCACAGATAAATGTAATCTTGTTCAAAAATGCAAAGAGCATTTAAGTATTACTAAGAGATAACATGTTCTATTTCTTTAAACAAAATAAGTGATGTACATAAAAGATCACAAACTGAGCTTAAAATACGTTTAGAGCAGGCTAAATCAGTCTAGATAAAGAGAAAGGAAATATTCTTAGAGTTGATCCAAGTTAGTCCAGATCTCACACTTTTATGCAATTTTAGATTTTCTTATATTCAAAATGTTGACATATTAAAATAAATATAAAAGTAAAACTAAAAATTTGTCTGAAAAAAAAATCATATTTAATACAGAAAAGTTGTTGGGTTCTTTGAACATGAAGAAAATATAATGTCTTAAAGGTCTGGTGGAGGATGTTCTGTTTTTGGGTGGATCATCAAAATAAGTGGTCCTCCTAATTGCAGTCCTGGTAATATCTTAACATAAGGCTCAACCCCATTTTCACTTACCGGTGGTGAGTCTGACATAGAGGGAAAATTGCAAATCTTCTTTTGGAAAGTAAGCTTGTATAAGCAACTTTTAAACAGAGCGTGCACAAGGAGAAATGTTCTCCTGCATGCTCTTGCACGCGTTTAATAGACGTTCGCTCTCGGGAGCGGTTACAGGGTTGTTCATGTACATTTTTTATTAAAAGTGAAGAGGGTCAGTCTTTTCAAAAATTTGCGAAAATCCTCCACTATACCTTTAACATTATTCAGCTAACAAGTATAAAACACAATGCTAGCGTTAACCCAGCCAAGCAGTAATAAATCATAGAGGGAAGTACCTGCTAGAGGATTGTAAGCATAAAACTTCATTCCATAATATCTGAGGCATGGGAGCAGCTCGGTCTCCACCTGTCTTGTTGTAGCGTTGTACATTCCCTGGGAGAAGTTTTCAAAATTTGAAGCAATAGCCAAATAATAAACAGGTCAAATACAAAACTGGAAAACATTTAAGCCTTTTATTTGGGAAGTAGCCATTTTAAAAGATAAACATTTCTAAAATAAAAATGTGTTGATGTTTTCATTCCTGGACTAATTTCTTCTACCATCCTGCAAATTTAACAAAAATGATGTATTTGTGATTTAGAAACATCCGTAGAAATATCATAGACAAATCTTCCCTTACTAATAAATTTCTTAGCTACTTCCTCAGAACCCACTTGATTAGGAAAATAACGACTTTGATTCTTCCTCCTAATCATAAAAAGATAAATTAAAAAAAACATTTATTAATTAGTCAACTATTACCTGATAAACAGTGGGAACGACCCAGTTATTATGTCTGCAGATGCAAACAATTTCAGCAACTTCCCACGACGCGTAGTTTGACAGTCCTAGCTCTTTGAATTTACCCTGCAGATGATAATTTTACATAAGATTATATTTTTAAACCTTCTCTAAAAAACAAACAATTGAACACAATTTATTCTGTGCATCATTTTCAACTGTTCATTTCCAAGTCGGCTCACCTCTTTGTGGAGCTCATTGCAAGCCCTCAGAGTGTCCTGGATGGGGTTTTGATGATCAGGAGCATGAAGGTAAAAAAGGTCCACACAGTCAGTCCTCAGCCTCTGCAGGGAGCTTTCAAGTTGCGAGCGAACGCTCTCTGGCTTCAGTGTTTTCCCATCCCAGGGGTTTGCCTTGGTTGCTATGCTTACTGTGGTGAAATAAAACAATTAACAGTCAGAAATATTTTATTTAATCACCTGAACCCACCGTTAACAAGCTGTGATGATTAACAAAAACAAGTAAAGTAGTTAGAAAACCCAAAAAGAAGAACACATGAAAAATATAACTGAAAGGTCAAAAAAGTAAAAAAAAAATTAGTTCTTTAAAGTTACTCTCTAATTAAATCTGAAACAAAAAACTGCATCAAATTCATGAGCATTCATTATGAGACATGCTCAGAGGAAGTTTTTGTAACAGTCTAAATAACAGAAAATAATAATGTACAAGAGGAGACAAGCCTTTCCACCCCCTTATGGTTATTAGGGCTGAAACAATTAATTGGGTTAATCGTGTTTAATAGATTGACAGTGCAACCCACTTAGAGCAGTCTTTAAATCAAAATTGTAAAAAAAAAGTATATATATATATATTTATATATATTAGGGATGGAACGGTTTATGAAAACCGTCCGAACCGTTCGGTTCGACTGTCTCGGTTCGGTTCGCGTGTGTTTCGTTCGGTTCATGCGCTGCTCCTTTTTCCTCATAGAGGAAGCGTTTACACTCCAGAGCAGAAGGTGGCGGTACTGCGACCAAAGCCATCCACCAGTAGTAAACAAGAAGAAGAAGAAGCGAAGCAGCCGGGTGTAGCAGAAAAATATCAGTTGTTGTGGAGAATTGTGTGTGTATGGCGAGTACTTTTTATTGTCAGGAGAGTACAAATTTCATAGCATTTGCCCGCCGGGCAAGTGCAGTGATCGCAAAAAAATTATTTATCACTCAAAATTACTTTAAAATCACTGACATTAGCTGAAAACGACTCAGCGGGCGCCATTTTTGTTGTTTTGTACACATTCTCACGTGATTTGAAAAAGCCGCGAGATTTTCAGCCAGATGGCGTCATTTTTGTCATCCTAGCGG